TACTTTGACTTTTTAAATCTCTTGTGAAATCAAATTCTCTTGGAACGACTAAATTCTTCATAGTTAACGGAAACGTTGTTGACGACCCTAATATTGTTTGTGAACAATTCAGCAAGCACTTCTCGCAATGCTACAAAACTGGAACTGAAAGCTCTATCATTACATTTCGAATGCTGACAGCCAGACACCTATCGAAAATTGATTTTACACCCTCGAACATCAAGCAGGCCATAGCTGCCCTGAAAAGTCTTATGATGGTGGACCTGATGGGATCCCTTCATCATTTGTGAAATATGAGAGTAGATAATTCCCATTATTTTGTTTGAAACTTTTCAACCTATCTATGGAATATGGGACCTATCCATCTGTATGGAAAACATCTCTTATCACCCCTAGATTCAAGACAGGATCACGTAGTGATATTGTTAACTATACGCCAATTAATTTAACATCTGTGCTCTCAAGAACCATGGAAAAAATCATCCACAAACAGCTATTATCACTTTTACTTTCAGCTAGTCTGATTAACCCATCATAACACGGGTTTATCACTAAACGCTCATGTTTCACATTGCACCTGGAATTGTTTGATCAAATTACCCAGAGAAGAGATGTTGGTCAGTCAGTGATAATTCTTTACTTCGATTTTAGCAAGGCTTTCGACAGTGTCTCAGACAAACTACTTCTTCTAAAACTCTCTTCATTTGGCATGCAGAATCCCCTTTTATGTTTGCTCAAATCTTTTTTAGAACGTAGCCAAATCGTTCGCTTTGGATCTTGCTACTCTCACCCTGTGAATGTAACCAGTGGGGTTATACAAGGAAGTGTGATTGGTCCATTACTCTTTCTCCTATTTATCAGTGACGTGTGTTCCCTCTTTCAGTATGGTAAACCTTTCCTTTTTGCCGATGACCTAAAGGTAGTTTATTCATTCTCTTCTCCCACCAAAGAAAGCTATATTTCAGCCGTAATCCAAGAAGAAATAAACAAGTTATACGAACGGACTGTTTCGTGGAATTTGCCACTTAATGTTGACAAAAGTGGATTTATTCACATTGACGTCTGCTTTTACTTAAATTTGACTATACACAAACATACACTGAAACCCGTCAACTCTGTTCGTGACTTGGGTTTAAGATATAGCAACAGTCTAAACTTTTCTGAGCACATTGCATCTCAAGTATCCAAAGCTAGAAAGCTCATCGGATTCATAATGATAAACTTCAATAATATCGAATCGAGGTTGTTATTATACAGAAAATGTATGTTGCCCATTCTTGAATATGGTATTTTGGTTTACAGTAATTGCAGACATAACGACCTGATTAAAATTGAAGGTGTTCAACGAAGGTTCACCGAAGCTGTTCTGGGGTATTCTGACAACAAGAACTATAACCAAAGATGTCAACAACTCAAATTAGAACCTCTCTGGATCAGACGTACCAAATTAAACCTTGTCTTTATCTACCGGCTTATTAATGGTATTTCCTACTCTTCGGTATCCACCCCTTCATACTCTATGATATCATCCCATAATCTACGCAATAAGAAAAATATTCTAGCGATTCCAAGAACCCACACAAACTTACGCCTTAATTTCTTCGTTATTCGCTACTCAACCATGTGGCACAGACTGCCAGTGAACCTCCGTTGCAGTGAAACTACAACCCGGTTCAGAAGTCTCCTTGGTGATTTTCGTTCTGAAATTGTATTGTGTCACCTATTGAATATCAATGTATTTAATAATGACCTATACAAACAAGGTCCGTCATCCATCTAATTGACTGAAAAGCAAGATGCGATCCCTGAAACTTTTAACGTCTATTTTATTTTATTTTCTTTCTGTTCATCTTAATATATGAAGTCTGTTTATGTTCGTATTCAAAATTATTACTGTTATTAATATCATTATTGGTTATTCGACACATAAGATATTCTTTTCATCTCTTCTTATCCTTCCTAAATATCCAAAGTCTATAACTAAAAACAAATTATCTCACGGTAAACTTAAATAAATTAACTCCTCCCATTTATTTTATCTTCACACAGAATTTCATGTTTGATTATCTTTTGCAATTAATCGTGATTTTTACAAAATCATTCTTAATTATAATTGCACAAATGTTTATATGAATATCCGGTTTCACTCTATATACTATTGCATAAATCTACATGTATTTATTCGAGTGCACTGAAGGGTTTTTTTTCATTTCATTTTTCTAAATTGTTGGTTTACTTTAGAGGTCGATGCTCATTACACAATTACTATTGTTATCATGGTTGAACCCTTTCACTAGGTGTTTACATCTTTTTTCTATCTAAATAAATATTATTCTTAAGATTACGAAGTTTGTAATCAAAACGGTAACTTGTATTGCACTTAAATTAACTTCTCAAACGCGTTTTATCTTCACTATGCATATATGACTCATACATATTGATATCTCGTTATCCTTTTCACTTAATTGAGACTTTCTGTGGTGTTTGAATGAACTAATGACTCCTTTGTACTTGTTGAATGCCTGATTTGGAATTCTAAATACAATACAATCGTTAGTGCTTGTGTAGTACTTCTTGATTCAATTGCGTTATTTCTGGGATTATTAGTTCATACTATAATTCAATTACTCCTAATTATCATATTGGCGTCGCGATGGAGCCTGCGATGGAACAGTTAGATATTCATTCGGATTTTGATGCTTATGAGGATTACTTTGAAAGGTTCGAAATCTGGGCTATGACCAAGGAAGATGATGAGGATGTTAATATTGTGGCACATTTTCTCACATTCATCGGAAAAGAAGCATATAGCTTATTAAAAGTCTTGGCTTTACCGGAAAAGCCCATTTCTCCTCCTTATACAACTCTCAAGGAACTACTTCTAGACTATGCTAAGTATGCAAATTTCGAATGCAGTAAAGGGCGAATTCGTAAAATGATTCATGATGATATGAAAAATTCCACTACATTACGTCACCCCATCCCAGTGCATACTCAAGGTTATGCAGATAATTCATTGAGGAGTTGCAATGCAGTTCACGAAGATGGGCACAAGTTTGGTCAATGTTTGTCCTGTGGCAGGTTCCACTCTTTTAATTCATGTAAATTTCGTAATTCTAAGTGCTTTAAATTTGGTGGTATTGGACATATTCACTCAGCTTGTAATTCTGATCCTAATAAGTTGAGTATTTATAATGATCATTTATCTTTATCAATGATTTCAAAAGACAATTTAGAGTCATATAGCAGTTCAGAGTTAAATGAAACTCAGAATCCTTGCGAGAAAACAATTTCTAATGAATCAACATATCAGATTTTTCATGTTATTGTACCAGATATGATTTTTGCTAATGATTCACATATTTCAGATGAAATTTCTTACAAATCTGATGAAAATATTTCGGATGAACCTAATCATGATCGAAAAACTGATGTAGTTTTAATTGATGCTGATTTTTCTAATGATCCTTTACTCTGGAATGACATTCTTAATAAATTTGAGGAAACTATTTCAGAAGAATCAAATCTTGATGTCATATCAAATATTATTTGTCCTCATGATGCATTTGCTTCTTGTGAGAAACTTGTTCGATGCAATGCACGAGTATTAAATGAGTTAGAGTTTGATTACAATTCAGATAATTCCATATCAACTGTTGTTTGTCCTTATCATAAATTCACTTCCAATGTTTACTCTAGTCAAATTGAGAAAGATATTTTAAATGAAGCCACATTATTCATAACTTGGGGATATGAAGATCCGACATTATTTCGTGGGGGAGGATAGTCTATGGTTCATATCCTAGGTAGTAGTTTCAGTATTCAACCGGCATGGTGATTGTTCACAATCCCAGAAATCAAGTGAGTTTTCCGATTTCCGTTGTTAATTCTAATACTAATGAATGCATCCTAGATAATACAGAGTCTTTATCCAATACACTGTTGGACAGACACAGGATGAACTTAAGAAGAAGACGTGCAATCAATTACAGACAGTTAGACTCCAATTTAAGCTGTGGCGGATGTGGTGTTTGAATGAACTAATGACTCCTTTGTACTTGTTGAATGCCTGATTTGGAATTCTAAATACAGTACATTCGTTAGTGCTTGAGTAGTACTTCTTGATTCAATTACGTTATCCCTGGGATTATTAGTTCATACTATAATTCAATTACTTCTAATTATCATACTTTCATAGCATCACTTCAAACTATGACTGCACAAACATTTCCTGCAATAACAAGTTGTTTTTTTCTTTAATTATTTTCTATTTCATTTTCGTTACTAATTTGACGATACATACACAGTCATTTATTTTTGTTCTATGTTCATAAACACGCTTATAAAACTATTTGCATATTTCACGTCTCCTTTATTTCTATTCCCGTATTTTCTTCCTTTCCTTCTTTAAACTCAATTCAATATTCTTCTCAATTACATAGAACCTGATTTATTATTATTATTCTATTATTACTACTCTCTTTTTTCAAATATGGCAAATATAGTGCTGAGATTATTGAAGCTTTTGTATTATTGCATTTTTGAAGAAACCCGAAATGGTTTCTTCACAACACTTATGTACCCATAAGATGTTTGTGAATATTAATAATAATAATAATAACCATTTCTTTACACTTTAAACTCATATTCTTTAACACGTTTTCAGCCGTTAAGATATATTTTATGCCATCCTACAAGCGGCTTATCAATTGTTTAGTTTTGTTCAACAATGATTTATACTATTCTGGTACGATGTCACTAATTGATTAGTCCTAACCTTTTAAAGTACTTTCTGGTTTTTGATATTTGGTTTTAGTTTTGAGTCTATTTTGGTCATTAAATATCATAGTTATGATCAGCAAAAGATGGATTGGAGCCAATAATTTTAGGTATTAACTTCGTAGTTCTCTTGTCGTGCTATGTACATGTCTACGATAGCTTTTGAAATCGGTAAGGACCTAATATAGTTATCACACAAATGGAATCTTATAAAAAATATCAGAATATTCTCTATTGAATAAATTTACTTTTTAACAAAACATGTACCGCCACAGACAATAATGTTGGTTACATTTCATCCATGGCAACATTGATTAAGTCCTTCAGCTGTTTGTTTATTGATTCCAATATGTTATTCAGTTCTTCCAATGACTCTTGTTCCATTCCAGTGATATAGTGAAATGATTTTGACCCAAGATAGTTTGTACCTAGAGTTTTTAGAATGACACTTGTAGATTACCTGTTGTTTGAAAATACCAGGTCAAAACATGTTTCAAATTCTGGAAATGAATACTTAAGGCAGACGTTCCACTTAAGACATTTTTATCAAAGATATTTCTTCAAATATTTGTTTCGGCGTCTTGACAATAACTTGTAGTCGCTGTTCTACGTAATAAAGTTTTTATACTTTTGGTGTTGTGAAGTTTACGGTTATCCTATTTGTAATGTATGACAATAATTCAGATTTTAACAATTTTTAAATGGCGTACAGACATGAAATATTATGGTGCGTGAACCAACTAGTTTATCTGTACAATACGTCATTTTTAATTCTAACTATTAGGTAATTTCATATCTTGTGCTCAGTATATGGGCTATTTAACATTTCTTCCACCATGTTAGATTGTCGTTTTGATTTGAGCTTACCATTAGGCTTCATTTTCCTTTCAATGAAAAAGGTTTAATAGCTAGAAAAATATAGTTAAAACAAGTTGAAGCAGTAGTAGTTAGCCTTTACAGAATCGCTATTTTTAAGAATACAAAACGGCCATGTTGATATTAATTGAAGATATGGTGTTAAAATTTGAAACGTAACTACCTGTAAAAAGTTTATTCAATTCTGAATGCATCTGTTCACTTTTTCTTGAATGATGATGATTCAAATATTTAACACCAATTCCGATAAAATAGCATTAAAATGGATATAGTTATCTAAATTTTAGTTAAACATGTTATCTAGCACAAGGAAATTATTGAAATCATAAATACAAAGATCTTGAAACCGTTACCACTTAGCTGGCAATAAGAAACAAAAGAATTAGATTAACTTCACGGAAGGACTTAATTTTAGATGATTTATTTAACCCAGATGGAATAAATTAGTTTTTGACCCAGGAAAGAAATTTCGACATTTACCGGTGATATCTATTTGTTAATTTATTTTGAAATAGGCTTTGAATTAAGTTTCTGCTAATTCACATTATTTTTATGCGTCCAACTTTTGGCTAGGTTTAACTGTAAACGGTGTGAAAAAAAGCTTATAAACTATCGTTTCCTATCACTTGCTCACGATCACCACCACAATTTGTAGTGCACAAGGCCCCTTCGGTTCTACAAAACAATAAAGTGAGAGAAATCCATACGATGTTTAGTTCCAATACTTCTATCCTAACTGAATTATCTCGAAAGTAACTAAGGCCTTATCAGAGCCCTAACATTTATGGTCTAATTACGTCTACTGCTGTTGATATGTGAAATTAATTAACAGACCCACCTACCTGTCTGATTTGGAATAAAAGTGTCGTAGATATAAATTGAGATAGTAGCATCAAGTTCGTTTGCAACAATGCGTCCGTTAATCTTAGCATTACTCTTGGCCAATTTAAATCTAAAATGAAAACAAATTTGTCACCATAATAAGTACATTTCCATGACGCTAAACCATAGAAAAGTCTGGACAATTTCTGTGTGAGATTGAAATGGTTAAACTAACGTCTATCGATCTTATCTTCATGAGAATCCATAACTTACAAATGACTCTAGTTTTTTTATATGGATCACAATGATGAAGCTTTATTTAATCTTTGTTTAGGTACTAATATTTAACATCTCAATGTCTAATTGTTCGTCCCTTGTATAGTTGTCACCTATTTAGTTTTTTATCAGCATACTCAGGGATTTTTAACTTGAACTGATACTCGTTTGTATAAGACTCTACATTTTCCTGTTTGTTTATGCATTCAAACCGGTGTTCATCTATGTAGAATATGCTTTGTTTAAGTCATTATAACGATGGTACAAGTATCCTGCTACTTTCTATGGAGGATATCATAATATATGCAAGAAAATTTGAAAGCGAAAGACACCGAAATAAAAGTATTTGAACTGATAACTAGAGTGTGTCCTAAAAGTAATACGTTCCAGTAGAGTATATGGATGATGAAAACCACTAAAAATTCCACCTTTGTACAACTGAGCCGCATTAGTGACTTTAAACCTATTTATCAAATTTGCCCACTCTCAAAACCTCTTTGTTTTCAATGCTAATAAATATCAAATACTTTAGTTACTCATGAGATCAGGTCTAGTCCTCGTGTACAGAAGAAATGTATCGTTACTTTGTCTAAAATCTAAATCTAAGATGTTCGCTTGTTATACGTTTGCTTCCAAGATTATCCGTTTTCGAATTATTTTTGTCTCGCTGAGTTCTTCAATATTACTCTTCTGAATATCATTTTAATTAGCCGACGCCAATTACGTTTCAACAGATGGTTAGTTTTATAGATCTTTTTTAACAAAATATGAGGATCTCGCACAACATTTGTTGTTATTATTTGCGTGATATAACTTATTATTGAATTGTCATGATTATCAGTTGTTTACATTGTTTCACGAACATATATATTTGTTTAAACAAACGGGCTGGCAAGAAATTCTTTGAAATAAAGCTTTCTTTTAACGTCTTACTTTCAGAGTGTTTGGTAAGTCTTCGCAACCTCGTCCTACTGAACACTACGTTTTAACCACAATATGGAAATTCTCTGTCATCTTACGGCATGCAATAGTCAAAGCACTAATTTAGTTCCCTTATCTTCAAGATTGGTTCGTAGCGTTCTATTGTTTTAAACCACTGTCTGGTAACTACAATCACACTTTATAAACTTATAAATCCAGCTAAACTGAAAAACAATAATCGCTTTATAGATTTCGGATAACCGTATAAATGAAACTCACAATGTAGGCAATGCAGACTCTGGAGCTGTTTTTCGATCTCGAACAGATGAACGCCTCATTGCCAAGTAGTAAACTTGAAGTAATTTACTAGCGTTTTCTTCCATTTTCACTGTAGGTGTGTTTTTGCATGTATCTAGAAGCTGTCCACCAAAAAAAGAGAACTTAAGTTTACCTGTAATGTACGACTACTTCACAATCTTTATACGTTTTTCAAAGCTTATATTATCATTTTCTCATTAGATCCACTAGTTATCAGTGACTTAATAAGTGATAATATTTGTTTGCACTGACATTCACACAATAATTTGTGGAAAAACTGAAATGTAGAGGCTTTTGTTATGTATCCGAAAGGATGTGTTTGGAAAGTTGTTCGTAAATTCAGATTTTTGACAAAAAATAACTACGATATCAGTTTTTATTATCGACTAATATATCACACACAGCAAGTAAGAACTACAGAGTGCTGACTAACTACTCAGATCTCCATTATGGTCCGTTTACAATTTAGGTGACCAGTGGATTGATTTCAGTCGTCTTTGACTTGTTAGTTTGTTCAATTCTCAAGCACTGAGATGTAATTTTAAAGGCATGTTGTTTTGCTAAGACTGTTTAGTGGTTTCTGATTTTTTCTGCTCATGATGTTTCAAGTAAATGCGTCACTGTTGTAGCTAGATTATTTGTGACAGTCCGATTTAGTAGTAAACGCTAAAAACTCATGAGCACTAATTATAACGAAACCAGACAAAGCACTGGGTAACTTTGTTGCCTTAGTTTAGGACTCCTTGAATTGCATCGTTTTATGGTGAAAACGTACCTAAAATTGAACAATTTGTACTAACTTACTAATTTAATAATAATAATATCGCCAGCAGGAACTAGCTTTGAAAAAACTCCACAGAGTTCTGATGAGTGCTGGTAACCTGTGGGTTTGAACCATGTTAGTATTAAGACGGATTCCAGCGATATCCTGGATGATAATTACGTCTCAACACCAAATGACCGAAGCTAGTAATGTGAACCAATGAGTCCGAAATTTTCGGTCTCAATGTATACCTTCTTCGATCTTCTGTGAGGTGCACACTTAGGTGGAGTCATGAATCGGATTGAAATAGTTATTCATTGGTCTTACGTTACCGTACTGCAAAAATCGACAAAAAGTCACGCTCTTTATTGAATGCCAGATCATAGATTTAAAATCTAGTCACTACTGTAATCATCTGCAGATTTTTGGTGATAATAAAAAATATTTGTTGAATTTTAGGTTAGATCATACCAGAAGTTAAAGTCAAACCTTGTTTAACTGAGACGACTTATTAACAAACAACATTTATGATGAAACATACACTTGAGTAAATTTTCATATTTGGGAGTGATGACTTTCCGGAAGATTTTACGGTTTCCAAATTGTATGTTGCTGATAAACAGAAGTCTGCTATTGATCCATCCATGAGCTTGATTGGTCCGGAAGCCTCTTGAGTATTGACAACTATATCAAAAGCGCTAAAACCGATTGCGTCAGATCAATAACCTTAAAAGTATTCTCAAGCAGTATATATATAAAGTCAGAGGCTCCATCTTAATATACTTTCTCACTTAGAAATACAAATGAAAGACGACTTTATAGAGTGGTAAGGTGGGTAGCAACTCCCATGAAAAGTGTTCTAGTTCACAGTGAAATTTTCTTATTTATATAAACATGCATATTTTTTATATGGTCGTCTGTTAAACACTTGATTGATTTACTAACTTGACTAGATATTGCTTAAAATATAACTAAATATAAATAAGTTATAAACCATCATGTTGTCTTCATTACTAGAATTCCAGATGTACAACAATATTAATGATTTAATTCTGTGCGAGCCTTTCACCCGCTAGTTAACTGTCTGAGTTAAAATGACAAAGATAAGAAAGGTTATCAGAGGTGTCAACTATGCTTATGTTATGATACGACTAGTCTTTACCTTTACTTAAGGAGTATGTAGCAGTGAATAAGTCTACAAAATAAGTAGTTCTTTAAGTCTTAGGTATGGATGCTGATCATATTGGTTTTACTGAAAACACCTTGGCTGAAGGCCGTCGGTCCAAAATCCGCACCAGATCATTGAGTAAGAAGCATCATCATAAGAAATGAACCTTTATGGAAACCCTGGGCAATATTTAAGAAATGAAGAAAGAAAAGACGGCAATCAACAACAGTCGAACAAGAGCAGAGAAATTCAATGCACAAGATGAATACACTGAAGCAAACCAGCGAGTGAAGAGGAGCACTAGAGCCGACAAGCAGAATTACTTGGAAGAGCTAGCAATGACAGCAGAAAGAGTTGCAAGAGAAGGAAGTATGAAACTGTAGTAACCTCAGGCAACTACTTCATTATTTGTTTGCTCGTTGTAATTTAGACACTTAACCCACTACGTAAAATTATGTGTGACTCTGATTGAGCACATGTCTTCCCACCAATCTCTAATCGATCCCCTCATTGGTTGCAAACAAAGACAATCAATAGTTCATCCACAATCGATTAACGCTCATAAATATATATATGGATTTGTAACATTCACATACGCGTTCACTCGCTTCCCTGTGGGCTTTCTATCCGCATGACTGCAGATTCTACTAATCTTTAACAATAAGCTATCTCTAAACTGTTGTTCGGGCTTTTGAATAATCTAAGTAAATCCATAATTCTACTAGGAGATTTAGCCTGTGTTAAATACCCAGTTAACGGGATACTATTTATTGGAGCCAGATATAGAGGAAATTAGCCTCTACAAAACAATCACATGACACAACGAAGGAACTGGTATGAAGATATAGTAAACCAGAAAGACCAGTCAAGGACAAAGAAGGCAAGACAATCACTGAGATTCAAGAACAGAGGAAAAGGTTGGCAGAACACTTTGTGGAACTCTTTAATAGACCAACTCAACTGAATCCACCAGACATCGAAGCAGCACACACAGATTTTCCTATGGCTTTGAATCCACCAATGGTCGGCGAAATCAGAATGATCATCAGGCAAATCAAGAATTAAAAAGCGGCACATTGAGATTATGCCAGCTGGAGCACTGAAGTCAGACATTGAAGTAACTGCAAGCGTGCTTCACCCGCTATTCAGGAAGATTTGGAAGGAGGGACAAATGCCAACGGACTGGAAAGAAAGTTATCTCATTAAGATGCCAAATAAAGGAGATCTGAGCAAGTGTGCAAACTACAGAGGCATCACACTACTGGCAGTACCAGGAAAGGTTTTTAACAGGGTGTTGCTGAACTGCATGCAAGACTCAGTAGACACCCAACTTCAAGATCGACGGGCTTGATTCCGTACGGATCGGTCGTGCACACACCGAATCGCGACGCTACGGATCGTCGTTGAACAACCAATTGAATGGAATTCGTCACTATAGGCCAACTTCATTGATTATGAGAAGGCGTTTGACAGTGTGGACAGGAGAACATAAAGGGAACGTTTTCGACATTATGGAGTTCCTGAGAAGATTGTTAACATTATCCGGAATTCATACGACAGGCTACAGTACAAAGTTGTGCATAGAAGACAGCTGACAGATACATTCCAAGTGAAGACCAGAGTCAGACAAGGCTGCTTACTTCCTGCTTCTTCTGGTGGTTGACTGGATTATGAAGACCTGGACATCTGAGAGGAAACACGGGATACAATGGACAGCTTGGAATCAATTAGAAGACTTGGATTTCGCAGATGACCTAGTCCCTTTTTAGTAAACAATACCCTCCAATTGCTGGTCTTGTAGGCAGCATAATTTTTATAAGACCATTACTTAGTTAACAAAGAACCCTAATAAAAGCTCTATGGTTCGGTTACAGAGCTTTCAGAATTTTTATATGTTCGTTCGCTCTATCCTTAGGCGAAACACTGGTTCTTCTCAGCAAGTCCGCCTGAAAACTAAGGGATCCAACTAGAAAGATGTGTTCGAGTAGGAATAAGTTTCAGGATTTGAAAAATACGACATATCTACCTGTAAACCTCCTAGTTCTGTACACTTCTTCCTTAATATTTGTCGAATATTTACTCCCCAGATAAATTTTGATTTCGTTTGTGTCAGTTGTTTGAGAAAAATATTGTTTTAAGTCTTTCAACTACATGTTCACAAATTATCATGGCGATAATTGCTACTAAAATAAATACTTACTTACTTACGCCTGTTACTCCTCACGAAGGAGCAGAGGCCGCTCACCAGCATTCTCCATCCAACCCTGTCCTGGGCAATCCTTTCCAGCTCTTCCCAGTTGTTATTCATCCTTTTCATATCTGATTCCATTTCCCGACGTAATGTGTTATTTGGCCTTCCTCTTTTCCACATCCCTTCAGGATTCCAAGTTAGCGCTTGTCTCGTAATGCAGTTTGATGATTTCTTCAATGTATGTCCTATCCATTTCCATCGTCTTTTCCTAATTTCCTCTTCAGCTGGAAGCTGGTTGGTTCTCTCCCACAGTAGGCTGTTGCTGATGGTATCCGGCCAATGGATGTTGAGTATCTTGCGTAGACAACTATTGATAAAAACTTGTACCTTCTTGATGGTAGTTGTTGTGGTTCTCCACGTTTCAGCTCCGTACAGTAGAACTGCCTTAACATTTGTATTGAAGATTCTGACTTTAATGTTGGTTGACAGTTGTTTTGAGTTCCATATGTTCTTTAATTGAAGGAATGCTGTCCTTGCTTTGCCAATCCTTGCTTTTACGTCTGCATCTGAACCTCCTTGTTCATCGGTGATGCTTCCCAGGTATGTGAAGGATTCTACATCTTCCAGAGTTTCGCCATCAAGAGTGATTGGATTTCTGTTCTCCGTGTTGTATTTGAGGACTTTTGTTTTCCCTTTGTGTTGTAGAATTATGGTTTACTATGATATTAGTGCTGCTCTAATAATAGACCTAATCCTAAAGTTGTAGATTCGTTATCATGTAACTGCCTAATCTATAAGATCTCATGTGCAAATCACATCATCTTCTACACCAACTCACTGCATCGTAACAATTACCAACACATGAAGGAGAAGAATTTCAGGCTAGAGATGGAACAATGTATTTAATATGAATGAAAGATATATGGTAGCATTCAGCAGGGACCACGCCTACATGGCCGAGCCATGCCATCCGATCAACTCAGATTAATTCCTGTTCATTGTTCCCGCCTTTTTCCAATCTTCTGTATTTCTCCGCGTTAAATGTAGAATGTCTGTTTCCCATATTGTCTCGTGGTAGGGCCCAATGCCACTACAGTGTATGTTGAGGTCTACTGATGCAGAGACTGCTGCTACACTGGCTGTCTTTACCTGCATTTGTTCGTGTGTATGCGGTAGGAGGGCTAGGTCATCCGCGAAGTCCAAATCGTTTAATTGGTTGTGAGCTGTCCATTGTATGCCGTGGTTTCCCTCACATGTCGAGGTCTTCATAATCCAGTCAACCACCAGAAGAAACAGGAAGGGAGAGAGTAGACAGCCTTGTCTTACTCCGGTCCATACTTGGAATGTATCTGTCAGCTGTCCTTCGTGCACTACTTTGCACTGTAGTCCGTCATATGAATTCCGGATGATATTGACAATCTTCTCAGGAACTCCGTAGTGTCGAAGAAGTTTCCATAACGTTCTCCTATCTACACTTAAATGCCTTTTCATAATCAATGAAGTTGATATACAGTGACGAGGTCTACTCAACTGATTGTTCGACAATGATCCGTAGTGTCGCAATTTGGTCTGTGCACGACCGATCCTTACGGAACCCAACTTGTTGATCTCAAAGTTGGGCATCTACTGTGTCTTTCATGCGGTTCAGCAACACTCTGTTAAAGACTTTTCCTGGTACTGTCAGTAGTGTAATGCCTCTGTAGTTTTCACATTTGCTCAGATCTCCTTTCTTTGGAACCTTGGTGAGGTGTCCTTCTTTCCAGTCCACCGGCAGTTGTTCGTCCTCCCAAATCTTCCTGAATAGAAGATGAAGCATGTTTGTAGTTACTTCGATGTCTCACTTCAATGCTTTAGCTGGTATATTATCGGGCAAACATAAATTTTCTATAGAATTTAAACATGGCGAAAAAGTTTATTCTAGCTCTGAATTACTGGTCAGCTTTTTAGAGGAAGAAGGAACATGGACTTTTCTATAAATATAGCTTTATCGTAATCATATTATTCTCTACTATCAGTTTAATTCGGGTTAAATATCTATGGTATTTGTATCGACCAATGGTTCCTTTGTACTTGATGACGGCCTGATTTCGAATTTAAAATACAATACGTTCGTTTGTACTCACCTAGTTCTTCTTGGTCTAAATTACGCTATTTCACGGATTCCTGGTTCGTACAATAAGTCAAATACTTCTATTTATTACAATATTTTGTGATGTTTATTCTCAATCAGATGGATTATTGGTTGAACTTAAATGTAGCGATTTTTTTAATTTGTTGAACAGAATTTTTTAGCGGAATGTAGTAAATTCTTCTTTTGATAGCTTATTATTTAAAATAGATGAGAACAGTTCGCTTTTATCTAAACACCCAATCTACATATGTTTCTATGGTGTTAACTTCTACATTGTTTAAATTATTTCATAAGTATTTTTGTTTATAAAGAAGCTATCTAAAAATGAAAAGTAAACACTTCTGGTAATTACTCACTGAATAATTCTTTTCAAATTTCCATGGAGTAGTAAATTGGTACACCCCTCGTTTGTTTTGTCCATCGTTTCAATAAAAATATTTGTATCAGATAAATAAGTTCGTGAAAGTCTAACAATTGGATCTTCGACTTTTTTCTTATGCAGAGGATTAACTTCAACAGTAGCCCAAATAGTGGTTTCATTAGGGTAAAATAGCTCTTCGTTGGTCCTATGAACAGATGTCAAATCAACCCCATAACCTGAAAATGAGTCACCCACGGTCATGTTCTCTAAAGCTAGGGTTGAAAATGATAAAGCAAAATAGAAGACATTTGAAAAATATTAACTTAATTCGAAAATAACCCACATAGAATTTCAGAAGGATAAAGAAATCCCTTCGCTAAATTATATTTGCAAATTTGTAATAAGAAATTCAAGGTATTTTGTTACTTAAAATGTTCTTGACGATCTTTGGTTTGTCTTAATGTACTTATATCTGATAAACTGCCTTGAGGCAACCATAAAACTGTAGTTAGATTATTTTAAAACTTACTTTTACTTTTAAATGTTACACCATGGTATAAGAATGTACGGGATTTTAATATCTGGTCGGCTAGACACCACTTAAAGCATTTTATTTACATGCGTATATATTCTAAATTTATTGATGTTAAGGCATGTATTTATTTGATTACCAAAAGCAATCTAAACAACTTCATGATGACATCAGTATAACCGGTCTGAAAAACGAGAAGTAATCGTTATTACAAGCTTTTTTTCAGAAAATATTATGTTATCCTCAACTTACCGTAAACGAGACTAGTTAGTTCCTTTTTCTTATAAAATTCCAAATTTGGGAAATAAGCTATTCCTCCAGAAGCTAGTTCTATAGTTCCACCTAGTTGGTAGATTACAGAGAAGCAAAGAGTATGTAAGTTAGGAGTTTCTAAGGATTTGTATTGCTTAATGCAGCAGTTTCCACTGATTCTAGAATCTGGAGGGTGTTTTAATTTTCTCGTATAACGACCAAGCTATTCCTATTGCTTAGTATTCCTGGACACCAATTCACTCGACAAGTACCCAAATCAGAACACAATTGAACAGGAAGAGATTACATTCCAAATAACAACGGTAGATGGAAGTAAGAATCACAATAACAAAAACGTTAGTATATTTGTAGTTTTTACATGAGAAGATCCTAGAGTCTTCTCCAAGTATCTACTAGCACTGATTGGATAAGAATTAGCCAATCAGCGTGCACCAACACAATCGTGCATGGAACATGCTTTAATCCAATCTATGTCCCGCTAACAGAGGGCTATTACATAAATTACTAGTCTAACTTTGTAAAATTTACAAAACCATGAATAATGACTCGGCTTTGAAATTTTATCTCTAAATTTAAATAGCTATCAAATTCGTCTATCTGGTTTGTTATTTCTTAAAACGGTAGTTTGGAAATGAAAACACTTAGTAGAACAGTTGATGATAACTGTACATCTTCATCACTCATAACGCAAAATTACCAGTTTTCGCAAAACATATATAAGGAAAACTTGTGGTGCTAAAATCACCAAACTATGAATGCCTGTAGAAACATATGCTAAGACAGTTACGAATCTTCTTCGTTGAAAAATAAATTTTACAAATGTTTAGTTACTGTTCTTTTACCACTTGGTTTACGTAAAAGAATCACTAGGTACCAATTATATGGAGTATCTTGAGGTCCAACTGAAAGTTGGATCATAATCACCCAGTATATATAAATTCAAACTAAAAACCTACACATAACTGTATGTTCTTCATTTGTACACAATTTATCCAGCTCTATAGACTTCGTTTGTAAGGTATTCTGTTTCTTCATAGTTTTACAAAGGCATTTCAAATTTGGTTTCTTAGATCCACTGAAGTCCACTTCCAAAGATGTCGGAAGTATACTACTCCCAGGCTTGTACTCACAAAATGGTTTTGAAAATTGTCCTGCTGCTCTCAGTAGTTTATTTGATAAGCTGTCGCCTAGGGGTCCCACTAAAAGTAGAGCTGGAGGTCTACATGAGATTTGCGAAAATAAAAGTTTTTCATCCTGAGTTAATGAAAATTCAGGAAGATAAAACGATTAAAGTGCCAAAAACCAATATTAAAGTAATCATAACAATAGTGGTGATAATAATAATGATTTTCAAATAGAATATGAGAAAAAAACAGTTGTATTTCTAAGTTCATTATGAAGAAAACATTTTACCGAATAATCTCAAAATAATAAACTGCTTACAATAGTCACAAATTGTGGATGAAACATTAACTAAAATAAAAAATACAGCAGTAAATCGGATTAAATAAAGATAACATCAAACAACTAAATCAAATCTTTAAACATTATTCAAACGAGAATAGAAAGAGAGAGGTACTATTAATTCGATAACCACGATATTGCTGGGTAAGCTGCATGTCATTTATGCGCACACAGTTTGGCCTTGAGTATATGAATAACGATTAATTCTATCTAATGTAGGAGTCTCCCATCATTTTACTTATCGAGAGGGTGCGAAGATTTGTAGCTTAGGTGGATGGTTCTGGAGGGGTTTCGCTCTCTGAGCTGGATGGTTTGGTCGTGGAGCATAATCAGCACAAAATTCAGGGAGCAGTGAAGTATTCGCATCTCTGCACTTATGACTCACAGCAGAAAACAATCAGAATCTGTTATTCTAGCTAGTTTCATTGAGTAGTCGTTCTTGATCTTATGTAGCTATTAAGTAGGCAGCCGGAGAGATCACTGCACTTCGGTTCGTTTGTCGATGCCAACTTTGCACACTAAGACTAACCCTTTAAATGAAAGTTTGGCAAATGTAGATTTTTGGAGGATAGTGGTTTGTTTCAGTATTTATTTTAGTGATTCATAGCTCCCATGTACTTTATGGTGCTTACATTCTCAACTATTGTCCTCTTAATAATTTCTATCTCCTATTCGAGAGTCTTTGGGACATAGTCTCGTTTTCCTCAAGAACTATGTCACAAGACTTCTCTTATATGTGACTGAACAAAAGCTGTCTTACAGTAAGTAGAACATAGAATCAAACTATTGTCGTCCCTTATTATCGTTAAGTTTGAAAAATTTATTTTATTTTGTATTTTATGTTCACATGTTGACTTTGAACTTGAGTGAATCAGATCGATTATTGCATGTGATCCATATGCCACGACATATCTCAAAATGATAGCATATTCTTTAGTTTGTTGCTTTCTAGCTGTGCAAGAAACCTACTATCGTCGTATACTAACCATAGCAACATCTATTTGTCATAAATATCTTACGTAAAATTGAAACTATACACTTTTTATGCATAACGGTAATGATACTTTTAATCTGTTAGGAAAATCAATCTTGTAGGCGCGATTGAATATGATATCAATAATCTCATTTAACGGAAGATACAAAAAAGTCGTTCAATTTCTGTTTAGGTTGATGTAGTCAGTTTTATGAACAAAGTTAAAAATATCTTAGATACTGTACAGATTGTTCTTTCCTTATGGGCTCCACCAACTGAGCATGCCATCGGACGAGCTTGTGATATAATAACTTACATATTGTTAAAATGGGTCGTAGAGAATTATCAATTTCATAAGCTTTTGATAGACCACACGACCTTGACAAGTAGACAACTCACAATTTCGTGCATTGTTTTTAATAAAATATTTAAGTTTATTAGAATATATATCTGACGTATCTAACCGACAGTGCTTTAGTAGAATTTATGTATTGGAGTAGCACGAAATTTTCTACCTTAGAACATAGCTGGTTCATTTTAATTTTCTAACATTCCGTTTAAAACGCATCGTTTAAACTAAAAATGGACGGTATAGATTTGTTTTCATGAAGATGGTGTGTTTATCAAAAATAAGTTATTCATAAACGGTTAATTAAAAATAGAAGTCTAATGTATTTTAGAGTTTCTAGAATCATTCCACTTTCAAGTAAATCGGAAATAAATGCTTTGACAAACTGTAGAGTTAACGACAATAAAGCTGATTTCAGTCGCTCTGAATCGTGATTGTGATTCGAGTATAATTTCTGCGCTGATAATCTCTAACTTAGGAAAGACTTTATAAATTTAACTTAATTCACTTAAGTCAAATATTTATGCCGTAAATATTTGTTTGAATTTATGATGACCATAATAACTAGTAGTGCATACGAAATAATTTAACAATAAAAACAGAAACATTACACCAAGGGCTCGTAGTTTAAAAACTGTCACTTAGCGACTGACACCCGGTATATTAGTTTTTATCAGTACTGAATGTAATGGTTTGTATACACTGATTTCCTAATCAGTTTAATCCCATGTATAGACGTTGTTGTTTCCAGATCCATTTTGTAAATCTGTTGATAGACGCTCAGGTTAATTGTCATAAGAGCTACATTGCTTTCTTTTTGTCTGGACGAGAAAAACCACTCTAATCTGATTAAATTGTTTTTTTGTTTAATATGACTTGTGTACTGGTAAATATTGAGAAAAAGCTTGTAAACTAGTTGTTTAATTAGAAGCTAGCGGCCTACTCAAAAGTTTGGGTCCTCTTTTTTTGACTGTGTGAATATTACAGTAAATCTTTAGTTTAAAATATGTTTGAACTGAAAAATTATGAGTAGTAACCTCATGTTTCTACTCGCTTATATATAGAGTGTGCAACCTATTGACATTCTAAACCCTGATAAACGGAAATATCACAGTTATTGAATAAAAGAGAAGAGACTATATTTGTACTTATTAATCCAAAACATGATGGATAAACAAATAGTTGGAGCCGGTAAAGTGATAGAAAACATTTGTGAGTGTAAATGACTCCAAATACTAACTGTTGCTGAATCGTAGATTATTCCTACTCTTACACGAAGGCATTATCCAGTGACAGTACGAAGTATATAGCACTAATAGTATCTGAATACACGTATTATGCACACTACAATACATTACAACTGATAACACGAATGTTAGATTTTTTCTGTTAAAATTGATGAAAAATGGTTGCCTCAAATAAACACCTTCGTCGAAGATCGATATAAATTTTAATTTACTTCTGATAGGTGTGAAATTAAACTTTGGTGGAATTTTTACCAGTGATCTTTGAACTATGTCATTTTGAACGATAAATTAAATAGTTATAGAACTGTATTTCATAGTGTTCTGTCACAAAGTACATGATTTTTTAAATACTGCTTCGTACATAGTATCAAGTTTACGAATGGAAACAAATGTTTTTAAATTGTTTCAAGTTACTAAAAATAAACCCGAATTAATAAATTGTTTAACTCACAGGTTCTGTGAATTCATTTTGAACTAGAAGTAAGAGTAGAAGCCACTTTAACAGGAAAAAAGTGCCGGCTTTTGTGACATTATCTGTATAATAGCGAATATTAAATTAACTGTAAAGATATTTCACCTAAGAACATGAATGCGAACGTGAATGCAATACCAAATTCATATGCACGAACATCTAGAATGATAGAGTTAATATTAAGAACAATTTTTGGAGGTATGAGAATCAGCCATATAATTTTAATTCACTATCATAGTATACACTCCATTTAAACCACTAGGTTACATTATCATTGCATATATAAAATATCATACCACGAATACTGATTTCAGGGAAGCTACAACAAGTTTGATTTAGTATGTACTCCTAAACACTTGTTGTGTCTGACATTTTCATCTGTTATTCATCCAGGAGGTTGCTATTTATGATTTTAAAGTGTTGTTTGAAGATATTTTATTAAACTTCACACTATTTTACAAAACAATGAAGACTAGCCAAGAGATCCTTTATGTTGAAGTGATATTTTACAAAGCTTTAGTCTTTTGATACCTGGTTGATCATGGCTAAGGAGAACTAATTACTCTATATCATCAATCAACGTAACCCACAGGATACGACCACTAGTCTATAGTTGTTTCATGTCGTAAATGTGCAGAATAACAAGTGGTTATATAAGACTAGCAAGAATCGACACATTATGTTACCCAGTTTACGACGCGAGAGATGTTAGCTTACAATGACCTCGAATATATATCAGAATCAAATACATATGTAATATACTGTATTTTCGTTTCGCACTATACGCAGACATTATGAAAAACGTTGGGATAACAAATTCTTTTAGTTTGTATTTGAATGTTCCTGTTGTCTGAATAATGATTTTTACAGGTAGAAAATGTAAAGAAACGTATCGCTAAAAATTAGATAACTGGTTAACTTAACTCTTGTTTGCTTCTCAACGATCATTCTCTTTTTCTAGAAATATTTATATCAATTTATGGTCTGTTTAGTAAAGTTTCTTTTTTAGTCACACTACTATAATTGAATGCTGGTGAGCGGCCTATGCTCCTTCACGAGGAGTAACAGGCGTAAGTAAGTAAGTAACTATAACTGATAGTTCAACTTATCAACTCTGTTTCTTCAAACGGTAACGTGATTAATCCATTTGTAGAAAAGCTTTATTTTTTATTGGGTTAACAAATGGCTTTATTTTAGCATAAAAAGTTTCTGTCAATTTTTCAACGTGAATGTTCGTCAACAATACCTGGTACTTTGTCATTTGAGAAAAAACCTTGACACTGCAATAAAAGTAATTGGATATAAATAACATTAAATTCTTATATATTCTTACAGTTAGGTAAACTTTCTAAAACCGTAGTGAGAACGCATTTCCAAGGGTCCATAGAACTAATGAATGAATCTTCGATCCCATAAACCTGAGAAAAAATCAGGAATTTAAATTCGATGTAATCAATCATACCTTGAACTCCCATTGGTATGAACGACCAGCTTTTTTTAGATGAGGAACACCAGAAATGAAGCATCTTCTTCCGAATTTAAGTTTGCAAATTAGTTTATCTGTAATAAAGCATCATATTTATTTGATTTTACATTGTCAATTAGTGTAAACCTAGTCTATTATACGTAGAAATACTTAGCTTAATTTGTTTGTATTAAAACGTTATGCATCTTACACCAGTTTCTGTAAGAACTGACTAACGTTTTCTGAACTAATTTAGAAACAGAATACTTTTGCAGCATCACTACATATCAGTACATAGCTCAACGAACAGTTCTATTTCTTGTTTATATCACTTTTATCATTTGATGAAATCAACTCTTTTAAAGCCTATGAATTATATTTTATTTTAAAAAATGTGGACAACGAATTTGATATCTATTGGATGTGTTTAAAATTTAAAAAACTGGATACAGCTAACATTTACGTGAAGTATAATAAAGCGAAGAAATACTTATTTTCAACCATCTTTACTCATTGATCTATATTAAGTAGTTCAACCACTATTAGTATACTAATTTATCATGTAAGTTATCTGTCGCTAACTTCCTTAGTAATCATCAACTTTTCCATTATTTCAGAGAAGTCCTTATGGATTTATGTTTTAACTTTGACATCCAACTTAAGAAGAGTTATTGCATCATAATTTTATTAATTTACCCTATTAAAATATTCCGGAAAACATTTTGGCGTTAAAAATAAACTGTTCTATTTGTTAGTATATGGGTGGTAAAGAAAAAAGCAAATCAAATTTGATTGTAAAACGCAGCATTATAATAATCACCCGAGAGTGACAAACAAACCACAAAATGTGTACATAAATTCAGTTGCAAATCAGCTTTTGACAAGATAAAAGTATTGCTGAACGTCTTTCTCTGAGATGTGTATTATATTCGCACACTTCCTGCAGCTTTAGATGTTAATGACGCATAAAATCTTTAGCGAGTACATATCATCTCCATGAAAATATTCATGACAATATCTGTTAACACTCTAATTTTAAACTGTTGTAAATGCTAAAGATTAATCATGTCCATGACCCACCGAACTCCGCCTGTAGCTCTTCCAGAGTTACTGCCGGTCCCAAGCCCGGGTAAAGGAGGAGGGTTGGGCATGGGGTTAGCGTCCCCATCCCGTAGAAACCTAACTCGCTAAAAAAACGCTAACCAGAAAAAATAACTCAAACCATTTAAACCCTGCCCTGGGAGTTAGAGGTAATATGACGCTTCATGGTGAAAGCCGAGTTCCTTCGGAAGCCACGAGGACGATGCCCCTTCTAACAACCAGAGCAACAATTTTTATAGGTACATGGAACGTCCGGACAATGTGGGAGACCGGGAAGACCAGTCAAATAGCAACGGAAATGAGGAGATACAACTTGGCAGTACTGGGAATCAGTGAAACCCATTGGACCCAAGCTGGACAACAAAGGCTAAATACGGGAGAGATGCTGCTATACTCCGGTCACGAAGAGGAAAATGCTCCACACACTCAGGAAGTTGCTCTAATGCTATCCAAAGTAGCACGAAATGCACTTGTAGGATGGGAATCTCACGGATCCAGAATCATCAAAGCATCATTCAAAACAAAGAAGGAGGGTATCACAATGAACATTATCCAATGTTATGCACCCACAAATGATAGCAACGGCGACATTAAAGATCGATTCTATGAGAGACTGCAATCAATCATAGAGAAGTGCCCAAGAAAGGACCTCACCATTCTGATGGGAGATCTAAACGCCAAAGTCGGAATGGACAACACCGGATATGAAGACATCATGGGACTACATGGACTGGGAGAGAGAAACGAAAACGGGGAAAGATTTGCAAATCTGTGTGCATTCAATAAATCGGTCATAGGCGGTACAACATTTCCACACAAACGTATACACAAAGCTACGTGGATCTCACCGGACCACACCACAGAGAACCAGATAGATCACATTTGCATCAATGAAAAGTTCCGAAGGACAATGGAAGATGTGAAAACCAGGAGAGGAGCGGACATAGCTTCAGATCATCACCTGGTTGTGGCCAAATTGAAACTGAAGCTAAAGAAGAACTGGACAACTGGACAAACAGCACCACAAAGGTTCAATACAGCCTTCCTTCGAGATACTGACAAACTCAATGAATTCAAGGTAGCTCTCAAAAACAGGTTCCAAGCCTTACAGGATCTACTGAAGGAAGAAGAAACTACTATGGAGGACAGCTGGAAAGGTATCAAAGAAACATTAACTTCAACGTGTCAAGAGGTTCTGGGCCCCAAGAAACATCATCACAAGGAATGGATCTCTACAGAAACACTGGACAGGATCAAAGAAAGAAAGAACAAGAAGACAGCAATTAACAACAGTCGAACAAGAGCAGAGAAAGTCCAAGCACAAGCAGAGTACATAGAAGCAAACAAGAAAGTGAAGAAGAGCATTAGAGCTGATAAGCAAAAATACGTGGAAGAACTAGCAACGACGGCGGAAAAAGCTGCAAGAGAAGGAAATATGAGACAGCTTTACGATACGACGAAGAAGCTTGCAGGGAAATACAGTAAACCAGAGAGACCAGTCAAAGACAAAGAAGGAAGACCAATCACTGAGATTCAACAACAGCGCAACAGATGGGCAGAGTACTTCGAGGAACTCCTGAACAGACCGGCTCCAATGAATCCACCGGACATCGAAGCAGCACACACAGATCTTCCTATAGATGTCAATCCACCAACGACCGAAGAAATCAGAATGGCCATCAGACAAATCAAGAGCGGGAAAGCAGCAGGACCTGACAATATACCAGCTGAAGCGTTGAAGTCAGACATCGAAGTAACTACAAGTATGCTTCATCTTCTATTCGAGAAGATTTGGGAGGAGGAACAAGTGCCGATGGATTGGAAAGAAGGACACCTCATCAAGATTCCAAAGAAAGGAGATCTGAGCAAGTGTGAAAACTACAGAGGCATTACACTACTGTCAATACCGGGTAAAGTCTTCAACAGAGTGTTACTGAACAGGATGAAAGACGCAGTTGACGCTCAACTTCGAGATCAACAAGCTGGATTCCGTAAGGACCGGTCGTGCACAGACCAGATTGCGACACTGCGGATCATCGTCGAACAATCAATTGAGTGGAACTCGTCACTCTACATCAACTTCATTGATTATGAGAAGGCATTTGACAGTGTAGATAGGAGGACGTTGTGGAAACTTCTTCGACACTACGGAGTTCCTGAGAAGATTGTCAACATTATCCGGAACTCATACGACGGACTACAGTGCAAAGTAGTGCATGGAGGACAGCTGAGAGACGCATTCCAAGTAAGGACCGGAGTAAGACAAGGCTGTCTACTCTCTCCCTTCCTGTTTCTTCTGGTGGTCGACTGGATTATGAAGACCTCGACATCTGAGGGAAACCACGGCATACAATGGACAGCTCAGAACCAATTAGACGACTTGGACTTCGCAGATGACCTAGCCCTCCTATCACATACACACTAACAAATGCAGATAAAGACAGCCAGCATAGCAGCAGTCTCTGCATCAATAGGCCTCAACATACACAAAGGGAAAACCAAGGTCCTCAAACACAACACGGAGAACAAAAATCCAATCACTCTTGATGGCGAAACTCTGGAAGACGTGGAGTCCTTCACATACCTGGGAAGCATCATCGATAAACAAGGAGGTTCAGATGCAGACTTAAAGGCGAGGATTGGCAAAGCTAGAGCGGCATTCCTTCAACTGAAGAACATATGGAACTCAAAACAACTGTCAACCAATATCAAAGTCAGAATCTTCAATACGAACGTCGAGGCAGTTCTACTGTACGGAGCTGAAACTTGGAGAACCACAACAACCACCATCAAGAAGGTACAGTTATTTATTAATAGCTGTCTACGCATGATACTCAACATCCATTGGCCGGATACCATCAGCAACAGCCTACTGTGGGAGAGAACCAACCAGCTTCCAGCTGAAGAGGAAATTAGGAAAAGACGATGGAAATGGATAGGACATACATTGAAGAAATCATCAAACTGCATTACGAGACAAGCGCTAACTTGGAATCCTGAAGGGAAGCGGAAAAGAGGAAGGCTAAAGAACACATTACGTCGGGAAATAGAAGCAGATATGAAAAAGATGAATAAGAACTGGAAAGAGCTTGAAAGGATTGCCCAGGACAGGGTTGGATGGAGAATGCTGGTGAGCGGCCTATGCTCCTTCACGAGGAGTAACAGGCGTAAGTAAGTAAGTAAGTAAGTAATGACCCACCGCTTTCACTGGTATATTCCATAAAGTATATTTCAAACTACATATTCTTTTTGTTCTTTTGCTTACATTTGCTGCTTAGTCTAGATCATCTGAGTTAATTAAAACGTTTTAGCATCTTTAACTAACCGTTTGGTTTACTTACCATGTTTTTCTCTTTGCTACACTGAATACAGTTCTTAGACAGTAACAAATGATTTTCTAACTAGATTTGATTTGCCCTAAAGTTTGTTTAAATAACACTTTTATGAACAGATCTATGGCTGAATACGTGTTTATTAAGTTTGTGATTGTGCTGAAACTTTGTAAGTAACACTATTTTTAGACACATTTAAACCAAGCAAATATTATCTTTTGATGAAGCTACAGATTTTTTTCTTCAAAGACTGGATCTATTTGTTAGTACTATGAAGCGTTCGGTTATCCGGTTACGTACGGCTTATTCACAATAAACTTTCAGTGATCAGACAGTTTGATTACACTTGTTTTAGTTGTTTGAGAAAATAACAATGTCAAACATAATGGTCCATACTATTTATTAGGATTATATTAGGTTTGAAAAAGACTTACCATAAACAGTGCATTTAATGCTTCTATTCAATGTAATAATTTCTGATCCGTTTTCCGGTTTTGGTAGTAAGAGAAATTGCACTCTTTCTAAGCATTATAAATGGGATATTCAACAATAACTTTAGTTCTATATTTAATATAAATGCGAAATTCTACGGTTTCCGTAGTATTATGCGGTTCAAAAAATGTCATATTTAGCTAAAAATCCTCTTTAGTCTAACAATCATGTATCAAGATATCTGGACCTTTTTTTATCAGGACGCATTAAATTTTAATACTAGCATCATTCACTACTACACCCAGAAAACCTGTATAATTACTAGATAACTATTTAGGCCTAATGAAACGAAATTTAGTAGTCAGACTGTATGTTTGAGATTCAAAAATAATTACAGTTGAAAGTGGTTTATCTTTTTCATACTACTTATCGCTTTCTGATTATAAACAAAATAGTTTTCCGTAAGAACCAGTACTTGTTACATTCTAAAATGAATTGTTACGCGGAGTTGATGAACTCTGTTAATGAGAAATAACAATAAATATCAGCTTGTTTAGGAACAGTTCACGAAAATGCGTTTGCAAATACAAACTGAAGCTCTTAAAGTGTTGATATGACAACTAACTTTTCAAATGCTAAAATAAGTAGAACTTTGTTATTCCCCTTCTAGCATATCAACCCCAGTTTAGGAAACTTATAGTTAGTTAGATGATCATTTGTCTTCTGTTCTCCTCAAATTATAAGAAAAATTCAAAATTGTTTTCTATAAGCTTAACAGTTTTCTTGATATGTGGCTTCGTAAAAATTCCTAAAATTCTGATCCTTTTTACATTTCTCAACTACACGGATCATTTGCCTAGTTGCTTAGGTATCAGTGAGTAAATTTAGTTCTTGGAATAGTTCCTTTAGTTTAATACATCATTCGTGTGTTAAAACAATGAAAAATGTACCAAATGGTAAATTGAACCGATATTTTTAACTAAGACTTGTAATAAAAGTAATTTTGAACTGATTTAATGCAGAGTGTAGTTTTTTAAATACTTATCATCGTTTATTTTTGCTATTTTGTTATGTAATTAAGATGATGAAAAGCCTGGTGTTTTAAGATTTCAGAGAGTGGATTAATCGATATCACTAAATCGTAGCATTATTAGTTTGTATGAACGTTTTTACATCCAATAAACCGACATCCAAATGAGTAAATAAATGTCATTTTTTATACTACAATTAAGTACGCTTTTCTTATCAAGTGCGTTATCAGGTATGAACTATTTTACATATTGTATTGCATGACATATTTTTCAGCCGGAAATGATGTTTTGCAAATGTGGTTAGTTTTGAATAGTTACAAGTTTTAAAATACTGTAAGCACACCTGATGTAATTAAACATTTTTGGCTTCACAAGAAGACAGTACTAACCAAATAAAATGGAAAGTAAATTTTGTGCGTTACAAGACAATGTCAAGACAAGGAATCGAAATCTCGTAAATTGAAATATCTAAAATGAAAACGTAGTTCGCGAATGAAAATAAGTAAATTGAAGAACAAACTGTACGGTTTTATTTGACAAGAAGACTACATTCTGTGTTAAAACGTTTCAAAACGTATTAACGTACTTGAGAACAACCTTTTTTCCATTTCTTCTCTCAGTTCTGTATAACAAAATTTGCATTGGAATCTCAATAATAAGTCACAGTTTTCAAACGTCTTACCTCTTCAACCTTTTGTAAATGTCCATTTTATGCTGGATGAAGTAATTGTTGTTTCCCGGACAAAGATGTTCTGGACATGAATACAGAACTGCTTTCGTGAACAAATGAACATGTGTTATTCCTATAACAACACCTTCTATGACGGTCAAACAATCTTTAGTAAATTTGTAGCTACTGTTGTATTGAATTCTTAAAAAAAACTGTATAAGATGTGGTTACTCACTCTGGGATGCATAAGATGTCTGTGAAAATTACTTCCACAATAATAGAGTTTATGTCATCATCACACGATAGTATATCAACTTCAACCGCAAGACAAAATATTATCTACATTATATAAACAAACAAGAATGAAATCAGAACAGGGTTTCTTTGTTCAAAGGATACTGACTTGCAAGCAACCTTATCATTCTAAAACCTATGACTGACGTCAGATAAACATTTAATGGACATTATTTTTGAGAGATAAATCTATTGAAGCTTCAAACCAACCATTTAACATACAGATTACAGTTATCTCCCAACAATTACTTTAACTATATATCCTAACTACGCATATTAGTCCCTTTGTTAGGAGATATGATACTGAAGATATGACTAGAGGATGATCAACCTAATAGGAAAGACCACTTCAGTGCCCTTTAACGTCTTATCAGTGACTCGTATTGCAATATCGAGTTTTTTAAAAAATTCAGTCCCCAATTTTTGTTAAGAACTTTTTAATAATGTCTGTCTAACCCAGAAATACATATACTCGCTGTGAAACGAGTTAGTGGCAATCGGGATAAACCTGTTGATATCCTCTCCTGAGGCATACTTTTACAATTATAACCAAATGTTTGAACATTTTCAGAACAAGTGACTTTCTTAGCTTATTTAGTAGGTAAGACAGCTGCAAAAAAGGAAGGGATTTGTTGAGTCAAAGCGAAACTATCGTGTTTCTATAGTAGACGCTACTTACAAGGATGTTTGTAAGTGGTGTGTAGCAAAACGTGGTGTCGAAGTTGAAACAATTGTCGGACAGATTGAGGAGTTTCAGTCCATCGAAAGCAAGGCGTTGGCAGAACACTTGGAGTTCAGTCGAAAAGACAATTCAAGTTGCAAAACACATTGGAGGAGGCAAGTAGACAATTCAGAGTTATTTATATCTGTTATGTAAATGCTTTGTAACTTCTCTCAGTAAATATACATTACATCGGCCTACTGTCGTGTTTTGCATCTGTACTTTACGTGCATTGGGTTGGAAACAACTTCAAAGAGAAATACCACGACACTTCACAACTTTGCGTAAAAGCATCTTTCTGGAAAGTTCGGATGACTTCTAATTCTTATAAGATTTGTTCTTCATGAAAGGAGAAGTTACAGTTCAGATGCAGCTTAAAGATCATTAAATAATTTACGAAACGTTAGTTAAAAAATAATTAAACACAAACTAAATAACCATTCATAACGTGGCTACATTTCAAAATGCTTTGTAGCAAGAAAGTGTTTGTTGAAGCTGTGGATCTCGACTGATGTAGACGAATTAACTGTCAGATTATCGAAGGCTGATATGGTGCTCTATTTTACTTTACGGCTCCCGAACGTGGAGTTCAAAAGTAGAGGTTACTAATGTTTGACCATATATTTCTTAGAACGATTGATTACGTATGTGTGGACTACGCATTGAAGTTCCGTGAGATTATAATAACCAACTTCATTGATAAGGATGTCACGTAATATTTATCAGAGTCATTTTCAGTGTTTCAGACAGATTTATTCCCTTTTTCCCCCTAGAGTTTGTAAATTATTTTGTCCCTTATGTTCTTTCAAGTTATTCTTCGAATCGGAATTGTTATTTCTATTCTCTTTTACTGGGACTGATACTACTTCCCGGTTGAAACCCATCTTGATTATTTCATCTCGCTGAAATGATGTGATTCGACATTTTGTACCTATCCATTTATGTACAGAGTTCTGACTTGTACATAGATATCTAATTATTTATTGATAAATAGTTGTAAACATCTTGATCACGGTAAAAATTCGAATTTCCACCTTGAACGAGCGACTTGATTGGTCATGATCTTGTAGAAGTTCAGATAATCAATGATATCTACGATGAGTAACAGGCTTATTTTTTACTACATAATATGAGATTCATTGATAAGCTTTTACTATCTTCAGATAGTGGATACATATGTATCCACGTTAAGCACACGTTGAGAGCTACTCCGCATGATTCAAATAAACGAGATTTCTACTATGTTATTTATATAAGATATCAGTTAATCTAAACTCAATGAACAATATCAATGCATAATATCGTCTGTACAGAAAGCTTGAGTGTCCAACGGACATTTAGAAATAGACTTACTTCTTGAATAATTTTTTCGAGCTTCGAGAACCGGTACACGGCAAACATTAGACTCGGCCCTAGGATTGGAAAAGAACATTTGTAGTTTGGCAATACATTACCTGATTCTTCTAATAAATCATGCAGAGCAAGATAAACAGGAATGATACATACTAGTCGTTTCTACATTGCTAATGTAACTCAGTGCTAATTTCAACTACTTTCTCACGGAATGTTTTGATGAGGTGACTTTCAAACACTTCTATATAAGAGCATTTCTCTAAATATTTAATTACACTACAGTACTGCGGAAACAAGTCCATGTTTCGAATTGCGGCCCTATTCAATTTTCAATAAGTTGGCCCGCTGAGAAGCCCATCGTTAATCAAGGGTGATAATGCGAAAATAGGGTAGTATGGCGTGACATAAAAACAGACTGCATCTACACTGTAGTACACTCATTTTGCGAAACGATTTGTATATTATATAAATTCTATTGTTTAGATCTAACTCATTTTTCTGATTAAGTCAATAATAATAAACCCTCTGGCATTCCCTTTTTCGTTGACGACCAACCTTTTGTTTAGTCATATTCTGTGAATATATTAATGTCTAGACACTTAAGAAATGGTAGATTATAGACATTACGGGCGGTTTGGATACGTGTAGTGACCTACTTTTGTCAACAGAACGCGATTGGATCGATGAAAACAATTATTATTATAACCAATTGTACCAGTGACTGTTTTACTGTGCTCGTTTGTTTAACTGTGCTAATAACAGCCATTTTGGGCTTCCATTGTATTCCGTTGCTTTTACGCGGTTTTTGGACTACGCACGTATCTTATCTTGCCGATCGCAACTGTACTCCTTTGGCACGATCTCGGTATTCTTTCGATACCACGAGATTGCCAACAAATATATACGACTACTACAATCATCTGCCTTCTGATATTTTGGCCTACGGGGATCTTATTGGTTAATTGGCACGTATTCTTGTAGCGGTGTTCATAGTCAAGCTCAACTCGACACCACGCTACATTTGGTGAGCCAAATTTTGGAACACGCCTCAACTTCGGTCAAATCTTCTGCAACTGGTGAACCTACATCTACGACCACTTGGCAATCGCAACCAAACCTTCCAAAGAAGTCAATTTTGGTGAGTCTATCGCTTATCTATCCACGTCTGTCATATATTTTCATATTAATTTTTAATATATATATTTGACATGACGGATAACGATAAGAATAATATTAACGTAATAGACTCTGACGTACAGGTTATACACTTTCGACCTGTATCTTTTATTCCTCACGATCCCGAAGTTTGGTTTGCTGCTATAGAGTCTCAATTTGAGACCCGTCATATTACAAGACAACGGCAGAAGTACACTTACGCTCTCGAATGTTTACCGGGAGACCATTTAGTAGCTGTCCGTGAGGTTGTCCTCAATTCCAATGTGCCCAATGTTTACGATCGTCTCAAGGAGGCGGTCCTCAGACACTTCCTTCCATCGAGGGAGGAACGATTGAGGACGTTATTAGCACGTCATCCCCTGGGTGATGCTAAACCGAGCCACCACCTCAAGCGCCTGCAATCTCTTGCAGGACCCACGGCAGCCGATTCTGAAATCGTTAAAGAACTGTGGCTCGAATCTCTACCAGCATTTATCCAACCTACAGTTACGGCCCTGCTCGAGGACGCACCACTGAAACAGGTAGCCCTCACAGCAGACAAAATTCTAGCTAGGACTGGCAATCGAGACAACTACGTAGTTGCCTCAACGTCGCGTCTGAAAGTCGATATCGACGGCAGCCACTCCTCGGCTCAAGGTGACAGGGAAGGGTGTATTCATACACGTCTTAGTTTTCGAGACCGTTGTAACGTACCCCAACCCTACGTCCCTCGAGTCCGCTCACGCTCTCGAAAAGCCGTCAACACTCGCCCAACAAGGGCATCTTCCAAGCCACGCCAAAAGGCGGCTTCGGAAGCGAGTGAGTGTTGGTGCTGGTTTCATCAATCCTTCGGATCTGGTGCCCGCCGTTGTCGAGCCCCGTGCTCATACAAGGCGGGAAACTCCAAAGCCGGCGAGTAAAAGCGGCCGTACTCGCCAGCCCTGCCCCCCAGGTTGGCCGTTTATTTTACGTGCACGATTATCGCACAAACGCTAGGTACCTAGTGGATACAGGTGCCGAAGTTTCTGTCGTACCACGAGGTAGCATTAAGTCACAAGCTACAATGCTTCGACTACGCGCTGCAAATGGCTCAGCCATTTCTACCTACGGTACACGACAACTCGCGGTCAACCTGGGCAACCGACGACGGTATCTGTGGACGTTCATCATTGCTGATGTTCACACAGTCATACTAGGTATTGATTTCCTACAGCACTATGAATTGCTAGTCGATTCACGTAGGCTGCAGCTAATCGATACTTCGTCGAACAGTAAATTCATGGGCTTTAAAGCTCACACAAACGTGTACCGAATCCTCGGCACTTTTTATTCGCGTGACGGTAAATTCCACGCTTTATTCGAGAAATTCCCCAGAATAACTAAACCACTCGAGGAGATTTTATCGGTGACCAATCGTGTGGTACACCACATAGTCACCCGCGGACCACCAGTCACGGCAAGACCACGCCGACTGGCACCGGACAAATTAGCTTTCGCTAAACGTGAGTTTGACAATTTACTATCTGCTGGTATTATTCGTCCTTCTCACAGTCCTTGGGTCTCTCCTTTACATATGGTGCGCAAAAAGGATGGGGTTAGTTGGAGACCATGCGGCGACTACCGAGCATTAAACGTAGTTACGCGCTTTGATAGCTACCCCATCCCCCACATACACGACATCACGGCATCGCTCAAGGGCACGACTATCTTTTCTAAAATCGATCTGGTACGAGCATATCACCAGATCCCACTTGCTCTTGAAGACATCGAAAAAACTGCTATCACGACTCCTTTCGGTCTGTTTGAGTTCCTACGAATGCCATTTGGATTACGGAATGCTGCTCAAACTTTCCAAAGGTTTATCGATAGCATAGTACGAGACTTGGATTTTGTTCACGTCTATATTGATGACCTGCTGATCGCATCATCAAACGTAGATGAACATTATCAACACCTTACGCTATTATTTCAACGTCCTTCGGATAATGGAATAGTAGTCAACCCAGAGAAATGTGAATTGGGTAAATCAGAAATAATATTTCTGGGTCACATCATCAGACAAGAGGGTATTCTGCCTTGCGAGGACAAAATTCGAGCAATCAAGGAGTACAACGTGCCATCCTCAATCAAGGAACTGAAGGCTTTTCTCGGTTTGGTTAACTTCTACCGACGTTTTATCCCTCACGCGGCAGAACGGTTACGACCATTAACCGATTTACTACGCGGTAATCCACGCAAATTAGAATTGAACGATACCGCACGTACTGCATTCTCAGAGATCAAAACGGCTCTCGCTGAAGTTACACTCCTCGCTCATCCTGACCCATCAGCCACGCTTAGTATAGCGGTTGATGCATCAGATTTCGCTATAGGAGCCGTCATGCAACAGAATATCTCCGGTAGTTGGCAACCGCTTGAATTTTTCTCACGACGCCTTACTCCCACGGAGACGAGATATAGCGCTTTTGGTCGCGAGCTGCTTGCAGCCTACTGCGCCATCAAACATTTCCGGCACGCAGTAGAAGGACGTCAATTCATCTTATTCACCGACCATAAGCCCTTAACGTATGCCCTGCATACCAAGTCTGACCGCTACTCACCACGAGAGTGCAGACATTTGGACTATATCTCACAGTTCACGACAGACCTTCGTCACATTAAAGGCGAGTCGAACTATGTTGCCGATGCTCTATCACGTATCCAGACGAATGCAGTTACCTTACCGGTGATCGATCTTCCTGCTATGGCCGCCGCTCAAGCAAACGATCCTGTCTGTACAGAAGCACCACAATCTTCGTCCCTTCAGTGTCAGGAAGTACCCCTAGCTACTAGCTCAGGTACTATCCTATGTGATACGTCTACCGGTCTTCCTCGACCCATCGTACCCTCTACCTATCGCCGTTTCGTCTTCGATGCCCTTCATGGATTGTCTCATCCAGGTATCGCAGCCACATTACGTCTCATCGCTGCACGATACGTCTGGCCGTCCATGAATAAAGATGTTCGTATGTGGGTAAAACAATGCTTACAGTGTCAACGATCAAAAGTGCACAGGCACGTAGCTGCCCCCATTGGCATGTTCGCTACGCCTGATGCTCGCTTTGATCACGTTCATATAGACATTGTAGGACCATTGCCACCATCGCATGGGTATGATCACATACTCACGTGCATTGACCGTTTTACAAGATGGCCCGAAGCTATTCCCATCACGTCTATCACGGCGGAGACAATTGCTCACCGCTTCGTAGAACGATGGATAGCATTGTACGGTTGTCCCTCGACTGTCACGACCGACCGAGGACAACAATTTGAGTCCGCATTATTCTCCTCACTGACCCGGCTGCTTGGTACGGAACGCATACGCACCACCGCCTACCATCCAGCATCGAATGGTTTAGTCGAACGGTTTCATCGCCAACTTAAAAGTGCTCTCCGAGCACACGAAAACGACAATTGGTACGAAACCTTACCGCTCGTTCTCTTAGGCATCAGAACGAGTTTGAAGGCAGATATCCAATGTTCCACCGCTGAACTTGTATACGGCACGACATTGCGTCTGCCTGGGGAATTCTTCACACCACGGAGCAGTAATGATTTCGGTAAATCAGACTACGTCCATCGACTGTCTGCATTTATGCGAACGCTGTCTCCGGTGTCAACTCGAATACAACATCGACAGGTCGCTCTCCCTCGAGAGTTATCTACCTGTTCACATGTTTTCATACGAGTAGATTCGGTACGCAAACCTCTACAACAGCCTTACGAAGGCCCTTTTCACGTGATCTCTCGTCACGAAAAGACCTTCAAGGTTGATCGACACGGCCGCGTCGAGATCGTCAGCATTGATCGTCTCAAACCAGCACACGTCGATGACAGTGCCCTAACCGATAACTTGAGACTCAATGCTAGACCTATCAAACCTTCTAGCGGGATCTCTACGTCTACCTCGGATCGCACGCTAGATACATCAGAGACCTCGTTCTCACGTCCCGGTCAACAGCACGCGTCATCTGCAACATCTACGGACGAGACTTCCGTCTCACGTCCAGATCGGCAGACCACGCCGCCCATGACTTCGGATGAGATCGCAGGCTCACGAAGTACGAACGAGACCACCGTCTCACGTTCCGGTCGCCGAGTACGATTACCCGTACGCTTTC